CGTGGATTTATCTCTGGGCTTTCTATTCTGTTCCATTGATCTATATTTCTGTCTTTGTGCCAGTACCATACTGTCTTGATGACTGTGGCTTTGTAGTATAGTCTGAAGTCAGGCAGGTTGATTCCTCCAGTTCCATTCTTCTTTCTCTGTTTGTCTTTTAATAATTGTCTGTGGTGTGTATAAGACCATGAGGGGATGAAAGACAAACCAACAATGTCATTATCAATTGATCTCAAAACCATAAAAACATAAAAATCATAAACCAAAAAATCAAAAATGTTTTTTTTCTAAAAGATATTTGGGGCATCAATTAAACAAAACCACTGAATCAAAGATTTTTTTTTTAACACCATCATTTAATATGGATTTCACTGCAGTTTTTAAAGAATGTGGATTATAGGATCTGACCTGTACTGTTAAATTAGTAAACTACTTAAAACATTACACACACATAGATACAGACACATATACACACATCCATTTACACACAGAGGTTAGACTATGGACAGTAAAAAACTAGGAACCTATAGATTTTGTTTGATTTGCACATTATTATAATATTTGTAATTAGTTATGAGCTTATAGAAATAGGGAGATTTCATGAAAAAAATTACTGACCTTTATTGAAAAACTCAGAATGGGCAACACTGAACTTTCATCCTCTCGTGACACCATTATTCTCGCTCTGGATGGAACATATACCCTCCAGTTTGCTGTATTCTTACAACTCCCAATAGCAGTCCTCACATTAGTTCTAGCCAGCTTCATTTATTTCTGTTACCAGTCTTTAATTACCAGAACCCTTCATATTTCCTCACATCTCTGCTTTCCTCTCATGTTCTAATTTCATTTTCTTTTAGTACTGTCTTGTTCTTCTTTACCCAAATTTGACATTTAAGGCTTAACCTTGCCTACTCTTTCTAACCCATACCCCATTTATGTAATCACCAAATCAGTTCTTCTTTCATAATACTTCAAGTACATAGTCCTTTCTTTCCTTGGCTCTCGTCACTCTAGCTCAATGTTTTCCAAAGTCTGGTCCATAAACCACACACATCCAAATTCCCCAGAGTGAGTTCTTGTGATTGGAATCATTTTTGATACCTACTAATGTATATTTCTGGGAGTCCAGACTTAAAGAATCAAAATCTCTGAGGATATGGGCCTGGAGACCTACATTATTAATAAGCACCTATCCCAACATGCCCAGAAATTTCACGTTTTCTTATATAACGTGGGTGTAGGTGAAAGGCTAATGTGCACTGAACCATTACGTACCTTTACGTGCTCTGCCTAGATCATATAGTTCCTTGCTTTAGAATAGAGCATTACCTGACACCTCTTATTCTCAACCATTGATGCTTCTGTCAAAACTCTGAGGCAGTAGGAAAAGTCTTGTTTAACATCCCATTACACTTAATTTAATTCATTTGTCCTATCTCTGTAAGGTTTCTAAATATTAATGAATACATGATGAGTTAATTTAGGCATGATTAGCTTCATCACATTTTAGTTTTTCTTTCCTACTCAGACTTAGCTCAGAAAATCTGATGTTCCTTAATAAAATTTCCTAATTGTTTGAGAAATAGGTGCCTGAGGTTCCTAATTTTCCACAGTATCTTTTTTTCTTCTCATCCTCTGAGTCCTTTTATTTAATTTAGCCCCCTTATTTCTGTCTCACAGAGAATCATTTTTGGGGATGGAAATTTCTATAACATTCTTATTGACTCTATTTATTGTCTAGACCCTTAATCACTGTTGCCATTGGTTATACACACACATGCACACACACATATACACTCATTCACACACCCCCACAGAATTTTGGGTACTAAAGCAAGTAGGTGTCTTAGGAAAGGCTTTAGCTGCTGAGGTAGCAGTGATGGTAGTAGTGTGGTAGAATCGTTCGAATGTGTGCAGTCCTCCTGCCAGACTGTGGAAAATGATATTTCTACTTTTTTTTTCCATTTATTTTTATTAGTTGGAGGCTAATTACTTCACAACATTGCACTGGGTTTTGTCATACATTGACATGAATCAGCCCACAAATGTGTTAATGTGGAGAAAAGTTGTCCATCTCTAAATTACATTTTCATTACAGACACAAAGGAGATGATTCTCAGAAGTGGGTGTTTGGAACTGATGGTTGTATTTATTCTAAGGTAAGGACTATAAACCACAACTTTATTTCAAAATTTTTTTCTTTTTTTATATTCTTATAAAATGCACTGTCAGTTATTGAGAGCAAGAAATGCTTTTTCTGAACAAATGATTTCACTCTGTTTCTAGAAATTTAGAATTTAACTCAGTTTGACTTGACAGTTTCCTCTGAAGTTTTGCTTGATGTAAAACAAGTTTTCCAAAGCCAAATATAATTTTCTTCAATTCATGGCTGTGATACAACCTAGAATTTTGGGGCATCAATTTCCTTCTATTTTTAAAATAAATGTATTACTTAAAAAAATTGAGCTATAATTGATGTATAACATTGTCTAAGTTCAAGGTGTACAATGCATTAATTTGTTACATATATATTGAAATAAGATTACCCCATAGCTAACTCCAGACATACAGCACTGTATAAGTTTAAGGTATAGAGCATACTGATTTGACTTATGTACATCATGAAATGATTACTGCAATAAGTTTAGTAAACATCCATCATCTCATACAGATACAAAATAAAAGAAAAAAAAACTTTTCCTTGTGATGAGAAATTTTAGGATCCATACTGTTAGCAAGTGTTCTATATAGCAAGCAGTAGCATTAATTATATTCATCATTAAGTGAAAGTGAGGGTTGCTCAGTCATGTTTGACTCTTTGTGACCCCATGGACTAAAGTCCATGGAATTCCCCAGGCCAGAATACTGAAGAGGGTAGTCATTCCCTTCTCCAGGGGATCTTCCCAACCCAGGGATTGAACCCAGGTTTCCCTCATTGCAGTCAGATTCTTTATCAGCTGAGCCACCAGGGGAGCCCAAGAATACTGGTGTGGGCAGCCTATCCCTTCTTCAGAGAATCTTCCTGACCCAGGAATTGAACCAGGGTCTCCTGAGTTGCAGGTGGATTCTTTACCAGCTGAGCTACCAGGGAAGCCCTTATTTTGTGCAGTAAATCCCTAGTACTTATTTATCTTATAACTGAAAGTTTATACCTTTGACCACTGAAAGTTTGTACCTCTCCCCACTCCTCGCTTCTGGTAACTGCAAGTTGATCTTTTATTCTATGAGTTGTTTGTTTTTGAAGTGTAATTGACTATAACACTATGTTAGTTCCAGATGCATGACATAGTGATTTGATATTTCTATACATTACAAAATGATCACCACAATAAATCTAGTTACCATCTGTCACTATACAAAGATATCATATTATTATTGATTGCATACCTCACACTGTACATTTCATTCCCATCACTTATTTTGTAATTGGAAACTTGTAGCTCTTACTCTCCCTCACTTACTTCCCTCATCCTCCCCAACCCTCCCCTCTGGCAATTACCTACTCTCTGTATCTGTGACTCTGGTTATGCTTTGTTATGCTTCTTTGGGCTTTCCTGGTGGCTCAGATGGTAAAGAATCCACCTGCAATGAGGGAGACCTGGGTTTGATCCCTGGGTTGGGAAGATCCCCTGGAGGAGGGCATGGCCACCCATTCCAGTGTTCTTGCCTGGAGAGTCCCCGTGGACAGAGGAGCCTGGCGGGCTGCAGTCCATGGGGTCGAGAAGAGTCAGACACGACTGAACAAATAAGCACATACACACCCACACCCACACACATGCTTGTTCACTGGTTTTGTTTTATAGATAACACATATTAGTGATAATATGTGATATTTGTCTTTCTCTGTCTAAACTTTTTCACTTAGCATAATACCCTCAAGATTCATCCATGTTGTCACAAATGGCAGAATTTCCTTCTTTTAAATGGCTGAGTACTATTCCATTATATACATATACATATACATATGTATAAATATATATATATATGCCTGGCAAAATGAAATGCTGTTTTAGAAGTCAGGAGAGTAGATAGAGCTGAAGAGTGTTAGGGACTGAAAGGGGCTGTGAGGAGCGCCGAGGTGTGTTGCTGTTCCGTGTCTTGACCTGGTTGTCTGGTTAAATAGGTACTCACTATGTGCAAGTGGATTGAATGTACACTTATGATCTATGTATTCTTCTGTATATGTATTGTATTTATAATTACAATGCTGTTCACCTGAAATTAATGTAACATTGTAAGTCAACTATGTTTCAATTTTTTAAAGTTTGCTTTAGTAAAATGAGATTCTCCTTGACTACTCAAGATTTCCTTCCTGGTTCTGTGATTCCAAGTCTAGATAGAATGTTAATCATCAAGATTTAAGAGAGGCAAAAATTAAACTAATCACATGGTATCTGTTAGTGTTTGCCTGAGAATCCCACCATCATGATTTCAGAAATGCCAAGAATCAAAACTGAAAATATGTGGTATATTATTTTTACAGTAGTACTATAAAAAGTACCATAAACTGGGTAGCTTAAAATAGCATAAATTTTTTTTTCTCATAGTTCTGGAGGCTAAAAGTCTGAAATCAAGCTGTTTGGCAACCCTGTGCTCCATCTAAATCCTCTAGGGAAAGATCTTTCCTTGTCTCTTCCATCTTCGGGTAGTTCCAGACATTTCTTTATTTGTGGCAGCTTAACTCCAACCTCTGCCTCCATCTGTACATGGCCGTCTCCCTCCACGTCTGAGTCTTCACATGGTATTAAATTCTGTGTGTGTCCATGTTCAAATTTCTCTCTTCTAATAAAGACACGAGTCATTTTAGATTAGCACCCATACCAATGACCTAATATTAATTTGATTTCATCTGTCACAGTTACAGGTGCCAAGGGTTAGGACTTAACATACTTGCATACTTTTTGCAAGAGACATAATTCAACCTATAACACATAGCATGGTAGTTATCACTTTATTCCCTCACAGTGCCAAATCCACAGTTCATTGCCTGGCACCTGCCTTGGGCAGCTTCACAGCAGAGTATTACCAGTGGGCCCCTTCTTGTGAGCATATTCCTTGTGAGTGGCTTTGTAGTGCGGTGTTAGCAGTTACGTACCTCCCTGTAGAGATGGCTTCCTCTGGTGCTCCAAAGGCATGTTAACAGTGAATCCTGCTGTGCGCTGCCTCAGCGACCACTTCATCATCTAGTGAGTTACAGCTGTGCCCTCAGTGGGGTCTGGATCTCAGCTGTGAGTCAGGTATCTTCCTTGGGCATTCTGTCTAAGGCCTAGGAGTACTGGGCTCGCTATCTCTGCTATTTATATATTCTTTAGTATTCTCTTGAACTTCTCAGCTCTCATCACTTCATGGCAAATAGAAGCGGAAAAAGTGGAACAGTGACAGATTTTATTTTCTTGGGTTCCAAAATCACTGCAAACAGTGACTGCAGCCGTGCAATTCAAAGGCGCTTGCTCCTTGGAGGAAAAGCTGTAACAAACCTAGACAGCGTATTAAAAAGCAGAGATGAAAACTGGTCAACCACTTGTAAAAGAATGAAACTAGAACAGTTTCTAACACCATACACAAAAATAAACTCAAAATGGATTAAAGATCTAAATGTAAGACCAGAAACTATAAAACTCCTAGAGGAGAACATAGGCAAAACACTCTCCGACATAAATCACAGCAGGATCCTCTATGACCCACATCCCAGAATATTGGAAATAAAAGCAAAAATAAACAAATGGGACCTAATGAAACT